CGATTCTTCCTGAAGAACCCTGCACAGAGGAGACGGGGAGTGAGAGGGGGCCTGGGTCTCCGAGTGTGGGCACGGGGAGCTGAGGCCTTGCAGCTCCTGGGCCTGGGGCACAGGGGTTTTGTGGGAGCCTGAGCTTAGTCAGGCACGACCTCCTCTCCTCTAATTGAGGGAATTGCAGAAGCCCCGGAGGGCGGCTGGTTCAGAGACGAAACAAAGGCAGGATCAGGACCCTGGATCAGAATGGGGTCCACCCGTGAGTCTCTGTAATTAACGCTCTGCTGTCTCAAATTACGAGAAAATATATAAAACATGTAATTGCGTTTGTATTTTGGACACTCATTAGGAGAATAATAAATGTTATTGTTTATTAATATGAATGAATAATCTCGTTTTTAAAATTAAACATTAAATCGCTAACAAATTAAATGTAAATTATTAGGCCCCGAGTTGATGGAAAGAGTTTCCTGGGGAGGGGCCGCTGGGCTCCTTCTTTGCAGAAATGAGCTCGTGGCCCTTTAACTAGGCGCGGAGGCTGCGAGCGGTGCGGGGTGACTCGAGGACACGCGAAGACACGGGCGACTCGCGGGGACATCCTGCCCCCTGCAGGCCACGAGCGGGACCGCAGCGGCCTGGGAGGAGCGTCCCGCCGCGGAGGTGGTTTTTGCTTGTGATCTTTCTAGAAGCAGTGAAGCCCTCTTGGGCCCCCGCGCCCCTCTCCTGGCAGACAGCCACCCACTCACGCATGCACTCGCTGCACAGAGCTGTCAGGAGTGGGGCGTGTGGCCTGGGGCGAGCCTGCTCGCGTAGGCTGGGCCTGGGCTCCTGGCCGTGTTGTCACAGCCAGTCCCCACACACGCAAGAGAAAGCAGCTTCTAGCCTCATCTCACACTCGGGAAAGTGAGGCTCAGAGATGCGTGGCCTGGCCGGGGTGCACAGCCAGGATCCGGGGGGCCTGGGATGCCAACCCAGCCCGCCCAGCCCCATTGTGGCCTTCATGGAGCGGGACTCCCGGGCTGGCCCCCCAGAGCCTGTTCCAAGCCCGTGCATTTGAATTAATGGGGTTTTTGTTTCCTGAGGGCTCTGGCCAGACACCGAACTACTTACTGCCCATGGTTGAGCCCAATCAAGTAGGCAGTGTGCCGTGTGCCCATCTTACACATGAGCAGACTGAGGCACAGAGAGGCTTCAGTGACACCCAGGTCAGCAGCAAGGAAGTAGGAGCAGGAGAGAGAACTGGGTCTTGCTGAGTCTAGAGTCAGCTCTTGACCACTGGAGGCCAGACTGGGTTCTCCCTCCTTCCAGGAGGAGGACGGGCAGCCCCGTCTATGCCCACTCCTGCAGTGCACAAAACAGTGCAGCTTCTGGGCCACTGGCTGTGTTTCTAGGGATCACCTGAGTTAAAGCAAGAAAAGGAATCATTATTTTCTTAACTAGCACATGATTTGGGGCTTGGCGGTTGTTTGCAATTCCTCTTATGAAGAATGCTGCAGCAGACACTGTGGGTTCAAGGTTATTTCCTTGGGAAAGACTTCCAGAAGTCAAACTACTGGAACCAAAGGCTGGGACAGCAGCATTTTGGCATGCATGTTATTAGAATCCTTCTCGTATGTGTATCCCAACTTGCACTCATTTGGGGAGGGACTCAGAAAAGAAGGTCTCCTCCCCTCACAACCAACAGCACCCATGAGACGGCCCAGGCTGACACCCCTGTGTCAGCCATACGTATTCAGTCAAGGCTTTATGAGTACCTTCCACTTAGGAACCCTTGCTTCTGTCTCTGCCTTTCCTTGCGATGATGAGTTCTAGCAATGGCAGCTGAGCACTCCACGATGCCCACTCCTGGCTCTGACTTTACGTCACTTTCTCAACAGGTTACAGGTGAAGAGCCTGCCAAGTGGCCGAGCCACGATTTGGCCCCAGAGCCCAAGCTCTGTCCTTTACTTGGGTCTCTGCTGTCTGCCCAGGCCTAAGCGTGGCCCCTCAGACAGGCTCGGGAAGTATTTGTGGATGAATCAATGAATGACCGCATGAGGGCCTTTGCCTTTCTCCCCTGCCAGGCTGGGAACCCCCGGAAGACAAGTGGGGTTGGCCGTGTACCTGGAAGGAGTCACGGCTCCTCTCTAGACTGGGACTCCCCACTTGAACGATGGGGTGCCACAGGGTATCCCAGCAGGCCCGGCGAGCACATCGCAGGAGCATAGAGAAGCAGTACCGGCCGTGCCCCCATCCCTGGGAGCCCTGCTCCCAGCCTTGTCTAAGGCCTCCCTTGCCCCATATCTGGTTTGGGGAGCAGTTTTCTCACCCCAATATGATTCTGTTCTCTGTCCCCTCTGCCCTCCTACGCCATGCATCCCAGCGTGGAAGGACAAGACTTCGTGTCTGCCTCCTGCCCGGACCCCTGCCACGGGAAGGGAATGCATTATTGCTCTCTCTCAGGGCTACTCAGACACCAACTAATTTGTTTCCCTCCTGCCCCCTCCCTTATTGATCAATGCTTTAGCCGAGTTCCTGTTAAATGACTTGTTCCCATAGCAACCATCAGATACATGCTCGGATCTGATGTGTCTGTTTCCTGAGCCAGATCGCCTCCTAAGAGCTTGGAGAGAACAAATCTCCTTTCATATCCGTCGCTGTCTTCTGAAAGGCACAGGATATTGTTCAGAACAAGTCATTTTTTAAAACAATATTAAAAAAAGAACTAGGTTTTTCAACAGATATAAAGTTGTTTCATAAGGTGCATCATTCTTAAGAAGTATTAAATCAGATTTTAAAAGCTTTGACCAAGTTAATCTTTCTTCTGCCTACTTTTCCTTCTGCATAAGGGGAAGTATGGAAACAGTCTCTGCATAAAAATACTCCGCGGCATCATTTATAAAAAGAAAAATTGAAAACAGCCTAAAAGCACAATAGATGATTCAAATGATCTATGGTTCACACACCTGTGAGGGTATTATAGAGATGTTTAAATGCAGCTTAGAAGAGACATACATGTCAACGATGTGAAGTGAAAAAAAAAACAAGATTAAAAACTGTGTCTGCACGGGTGAGCATAATGAATGGAAAACAAAACTAAATTATGTAGAGGAAAAATTACTCAGGGAAAACAAACACAGTGAAATGTTGACAGAAGTGTTTCTTGTTGGCAGAGCCATGGGGCTTTCTTCCTTATTCACTTACTTAATACATATTTATTGAGCACCTACTATGGGCCCAGCCCTGTCTGAGGCATTAACAGCACAAATGTTATTTCTACTGCCTATATTTTCCCAAATGTGTTGAAAACTATGTTTTAAAACTATGTATTGTTTTCTTATTTTTGTTTGTTTGTTTGTTTGTTCTGAGACAGGCTCAAGCGATCCTCCCACCTCAGCCTCCCCAGTAGCTGGGACTACAGGCATGCACTACTATGCCCCATTAATTTTTCTGTTTTTTGTAGAGACAGGGTCTCGCTGTGTTGCCCAAGCTAGCCTCGAACTCCAGACCTCAAGCAATCCACCCACCTCAGCTTCCCAAAGCTCTGGGATTACAGGTGTGAGCCACAGTGTGCAGACAAGAATAATTTTTTTAATGGCAGCGTACATGTTTCACCTGCCACGTTGCCAACAAATAAACATAAGATGTTCTGTTGGTGAGCAGAGGATACAGGAACACCAGCCCGGCTGGCGGAAGAATGAATGACCACGACCAATGAAGGACCAGTTACCAACATTTAAAACATACTTTTTCCCAGCAATTCCACCTGTAGTCATTGTGCCTACTGGGATTCCCTCCCACATTTATCGTGGGATGTTTATGAAGCTTGTTTACCATGGCATGTGACTGCTGGAACCCTGAATGGCCCTCGCCAGGGGACGGCTACCCAGACGGTGGCTCAGACTCAGGAAAACACTGAGCTCTAAGAAAAGCGAGGCGATTTCCCAGTGTGTGGCCCACTAAGGTGAGGTCCCTAAGGGAGAGAGGAAGGCAGATCACCTGAGATCAGGAGTTGAAGCCCAGCCTGGCCAACATGGTGAAACCCCGTCTCTAATAAAAATACAAAAAGTAGCCAGGACTGGTGGCGGGCGCCTGTAATCCCAGCTCCTTGGGAGGCTGAAGCAGGAGAATCACTTGAACCTGGGAGGTGGAGGTTGCAGTGAGTCAAGATCATGCCCAAGATCCCTGCTCTTCTCCCATCTTGCCTCAGTGATCCTGGGCATGTCCCTTCCCCTCTGTGGCCTCAGTTTCTCATTTGCACAATGAAGACGCTGATGCCCGCCTGGTAGCTTCCTGGAGAGATTTCTCGGGATGTGCTGTGTGACAGGCCTTCCACACAGGTCCTCAGGCACCTTTTTGTCTTCCTGAGATGGAAACCACAAAAAAGTTGGTGCGTGGTCACCAGCGATCCCCGAACTACGACCTCTGTCCTCTTTTCCTGCACACCCCTCAAAAATCACGAAAAGGGGCCTTGGAATAGGAGGTCTCTACGGACTCAAACGAAGCGCTTTCCCTGGGAGAGGCTGCCGGCCTTTCCCTACAACATGCACGGTGTAGTTTTTAAAGCTAGCAAATACCTCAGCCTGGCATTATCTAGCATTGAAGTACAGTGTCTCACGGAGAGTTCTTTTTTATTCCCCAGGCTGTCCCCTTCTCCTCCAGTCCCGGCTAAACCTTCACTCACCTCCACACCTCACCAGCATCCACTCGGAGAGACCCAGCCCCTCGAACCCAGCCAGCAGGGACCACGCTCCACCTTAAGTTTGTTCAACTGTGCCAGGTTATTTGAAAACTTAGGAAACCTTTTCCTTAAAAAAATCCAAGTCCCATTGTGAGAGGGAATCCAGTGCTTTCTTAAAAGTACTGACTCAGCAGCTGCAGGAATCTTCCTGATCTGAAGAAAGAGGAAGGAGAAAAAACACAGTCACCCCTGGCTTCTGACACACATAATCCTGGCTGGATTCTAGATTAGAACAAAGGGGACATAGATTCTAGATTAGGACAAAGGGGACAAAGTCATCCCAGCTTCTGTGCCTAGACACCACCTTTGATTTCGCAGGGCAGCGCACCAGGGCTAGGCCGCAAGGGGGTCGCGATTCAGCAGGTGTGAACTCCAGCGGGGGAGTCGGGGAGAGACAGCAGGCCAGTGGTCCTTCAGGGAAGATGCAGAAGAGGATTCTTTTTTAATTTTTCTGGTCTGTTCTACATAACTGAATGCCAGGGACCCAACCTGGATGGGCAGGGGGTGCCAGGTGCAGACCTGACTCTGCACTAGGAAGTAATGCCTATCACCACCGGCAGGCGTGTGTGCCTCTCAGCCCTTCCCAGAGGACAATCCCGAACCACTGATCCAAAGCCTTAAAACCCTGCATAACTTTTGACCCAGGCCCCACTGCTAGGAATGAAGAACACAGTAAAGATAGGTAGGACGATTGAGCTACTAGCATGTTTATGACTACCACGTTTTCAGCAGGGGAAGTGCAAAGTGCCTAATGTTCACAATAGGGGCTAAGTTGAGCAAAAGCAAATTTCAGTTTAGCCGTACCCTAAAATATGAATACAAATATTGCCATGGCTACTACCATGAAAACTCAGTCTCATCAAACTGTCTAGCAGATTACAAGCACTCTGGACAGTATGTTACTATGCAGAGACATGGGAAAATGTCTAGGAAGAAATACACCAAAACGTTAACAATGGTCATTTCTGAGAGACTTCTCTTTGTTAATTTCTCTGCATGTTCTGATGTTTCCCACAATAAACTGATGCACCTTTTGTTGATTTCAGAGCATGGCCTTGGAGACGTTACTTCACCTCTCTGAGCTTCAGGCTTCTCACCTGTACGATGAAGACAGCACCTGCCTCATGGATTTGCTAATATATGCAAAATGCATAGCTTGTTGCCTGGAAGATAATAAGTACCCAAATGTTAGTTGTTTTTATTTTTCGCTCAATTTTCTACATATAAACATGTCATTGTGCTCCGTGCTGGGGATATGGCAATGACAGCTAAACTCCAGAAGAGAAAGATTAAACCCACACTCACAGACGATTAATCCGCTGCCGTGAGGACCAATGATTTATTCATTACAGTTAGGGATGCTGTGGGGCACGTTGAGAGCATTTATCAGGGAAACTTTGTTGAGAATTTTGATCATTATCGTAAGAGCAATAGGAAGCCTGACGCTGAAGTCTTCAAGCAGAGCTGCGAAATCAGAAGTTCATGGTTTAAGAACTCACCATGTCCACACCGTGGACTGACAGGGGCCCGAGGGAGGTGCCTTCCCAGGAGGCTGCTGTGGGGGTGCGAACCACAGAGGAAGTGCTGCCAGGGCAGACGGGGCGAAGTGGACAGACCCCCGCCCCTTCAGGAGGTGGAGTTTGCAAAACCTGGACACAGCGGTGCCTCGGAGGGGCTTGTGGCGGGATGGTGGGGTGGCCCCCGGCTTCTAGCCTGATGTACTGCCCCGATGGTTCCCGGATACCAAGGACTCAGGGAGGAGCAGGTCTGGGGCACTGCAGAGTGTGTTTCGGGAAGTGTGTCTGGGGACATGCTGGTTTTGAGTTGCCTGGGCGGGGCAGGAGGGTGCCCAAGGGGAGGTCCTGGGCGCAGAGCAGTCTCGAGATCCGCGAGACCCCAGGGATTCACCCCTGCTGCATCCGGGAGAGACCCCTGTTAGGGGATGCAGGACTTCCCAGCGCTGGAAGCGCGAGGCCTATCTAAAGGCCAGACGTTCTCAGAGCCCAGGGCTTGAGCACAGGTGTTGCGCCCCCGACGTGGAGGTGCGCGGGGCTGGGAGCCCAAGCCAGGTGTGCTGGTGGCCTCGCTGGCACACGAGGCGGCTCGGCCTCAGAGGATCAGTGGGGGCCGGACCCCTCCGCGTTGGTGGCCGCTTTCCTCTAGGGTGGGTGCGTGGCCGCCTCCCCCAGGCAGTCCTCCTGCCTTGCCCGAGAGGCCAGCTCAAAAGCCTCTGTGCCCGGGCCGCCCGCCAGGGGCGCCCTTCCCAACCCACGTTCACCAGCTCTGCCTCGCCCACGCTCGCCCCTTCGCCTGCCCCGAGCCCTGCAACCCGGGCAGCCCCCTCCGCAGGTGCTCACTAAACATCGTGGAATGAGGGAAACAGAGACCCGGAGAGAGGAGCGCGGGGAGAAGAGAGCCCACGGTGTTCCCAGCCCTTCTACCAGTGAGATCATGAGTCAGTTTATGTTCCAGCGTCTATGCTTCAACACCTTCCAGATTTTCCTCCGCGAGCTGGCATCTCTGTTGGAGTCAGAAACCATCGTTTTTCTATCACTGTTTCTGAAGATGTGCTGAATACCAACCGAAGACCAGGGCGCTCTGGGGAGGGCACCGGGCGGGCTCTAGCTTTGCAAGGTGCCAGGGGATGTTTGTAGGGGCCGAGCCTGCTGCTCCCCCGGTGTGGGGCGGTCCTGGGGTGTTCTCTGCTTGCCTCCGGGGCTCCCAGGCAGCCTCCTCCAGCCAATCTTCCCTGGCCCCTAGAAGGAGTAAGCGGGCAATCCCTGGGACTTGCTTAAACCACCCACACCCCAAAAATGTGTGTCCCCCTTTACTGGGAACGTGTTTACAGCTGTGTTATGTGGGGGTGTGTCCCACGCCCAGCGTGGGCCCCTGGTGGTGAGTAGTGTTGGGTACAGTTGGGAGCCTGGGCTCCACCCCAGCTCTGTCCCTGGGATGTCCAGGGCCATGCCCAAGCCTCCTTTTCTTTGAATGGGACTCACCAGGTACGTCTCCAAAGGAGGTTGTGAGCATTAAGTATCCAGGACTTGCCAGGGTGCTGGCACACAGTAAGTGCTCAATAATTGCTGGCTACTGTGAGAATAACGTGAAGGGAACTGGATGGGGCGCTGGGCCTTGCTTTCCCCAGTTGCCCATACTCTGGCCCTGTATGGCTTCCTCCTCTGGCCCGGCCAGCATGGATGTGGTTGAGGATGGCATATGTCCGTGGAAGGCCAGCTGACAGGCTCTGGGACAGCCATGACAAGTTAATGAATTCCGCCGTGGTCACTCAAGGCACATGTCTGGGCCACGAGGACTTCTGTCTGCTGCACTGACCTTTAAAGGTGCGCCTTTAATACCCACCAATCACTCATGCTCTGACTGAACGTTCAGAAGATGAAACTTGTCTGAGCTGAGAGTGATCACTCATGCCCGTCGCCCCCTCACTGTCACTCCTTCCTGAATCAGAATAAAACTTTGCAAAACCCTTTGGTTCGCTCACCAGCCTTTGCTGTGAAGACAGAGGTGCTTTCTATCACACCTGGCAGTGAGGGCCAGCCCGGTACGCTCTTTCACCCACCCTAGCCCACACCAGGCACCATTTGTGGGGAGGGGGTTCCAGCCCCGCCTGCATACATAGCCTTTACTTTAATCCCTTAATAACCTCCTCATTCAACTTTCCATCTATCCATTGAAAAAACATTTATCAAGGATCACCTCAGCTTAAATGCCTTTGGCCACAAGAAACGTAAAACCTGACTCAAGCTAAAACCGTAAAAAAAGGTATCATTTCATATAACAGGAAGTCTAGAAGTGGAATGGGGTTCAGGGTGTGGTTTCAGCAGCTGGGTGTGGTCCTCAAAGACCCTGGTGCCTTCCATCTCTCTGCTCTGTTTTCTTACCTCTCTACCTCAGCGTTGGCTTCAAATGCCAAATGGAACCAAGATGGTGACCAGCACCCCACTGTAGCTGGCCCCGACATCTCTCTCAATGACTCTTTCTCTTTGGAAGTAACGAATCCTAAATTCAGTCCCTCTTATTCTGGCACCTAAGATTGTATGGGTAGCCCCCATCCAGAGAGTGCCCTAGACGCTACACCCAGGGGCACGACCCTGACCTTCCCATCAATCAACCCACAGTCAGATTTCATCTAGCTGCCAGCTTTATTAGTGAAGTTCTTCTTTCTTTCTTCTTTCTTTATTCTGCAAAGTGAAGTTCTTCTTCTTCTTTCTTTATTCTGCAAAGATATTTAGTTTTCTTTTTGATTAACTCTTATTTTAATTCCCTCCTTAGAGGTCTATATTCTGTTTCTTTATCTTAGTGGTGATGACTCTTAGCGTTAGGTGTTTCCAAATAAAGCATAATTGACTTTGCTACTTGATATTTACAATTAGTCAGTCTGATTCTCTTTTTTTTTCTTTTTTTTTTTTTTTTTTTTTTTGAGAGGGAGTCTCGCTCTGTTGCCCAGGCTGGAATGTAGTGGCACGATCTTGGCTCACTGCAACTTCCTCCTCCTGGGTTCAAGGGATTCTCCTGCCTCAGTCTCCCGAGTAGCTGGGTCTACTGGCGTGCATCACTGTGCTTGGCTAATTTTTGCTATTTTTAGTAGATAAAGAGTTTCACCATGTTGGCCAGGCTGGTCTTGAATTCCTGACCTCAAGTGATTTGCCCGCCTGGGCCTCCCAAAGTGCTGGGATTACAGGCGTGAGCCACCTTGCCTGACTACCAGTCTGATTCTTAACAAAATTTCATAATGAATTATTATTTCAGAAATTTAAATCAATTTGTTTTAGAAATTTAAAAATAATGCTAGGTTTTTTGTTTTTGTTTTTGTTTGAGACAGAATCTCGCTCTGTCACCCAGGCTGGAGTGCAGTCGCATGATCTCGGCTCACTGCAACCTCTGCCTCCCGGGTTCAAGCGATTCTCCTACCTCAGCCTCCTGAGTAGCTGGGACCACAGGTGCGTGCCACCACGCCCAGCTAATTTTTGTATTTCTAGTAGAGACGGGGTTTCACCATGTTGGCCAGGATGGTCTCAATATCTTGACCTCGTGAGCCACCCGCCTGGGCCTCCCAAAGTGCTGGGATTAACATCGCACTCAGCCAGGTTTTCTTAAGATAGGTATTTAACATACTTTAAACAAATCAATACATTAATGAGGGACTATTGGCATTTACAGCACCAGGAAATCTATCTTCTAAAAAGGTTCATTATTATACATGTGTGTGGATAATAGTCACATTGCATGCCGTTTTCAGAAATTTAATTCCTGAATTAAATGAAAATCAACACTTTAATACATCCTATTTTATTTAGTCCATGCTTCAATTTTTTTATTTTTGTTTATTTTTAAACTTCTAATAATGCAGACAGCCTTTTTAAAAACTCTTTAAAATCAGTCTTCAGAGGCTATAAAGGCCTCTGGTCTCCTTAAGCATTTCATATCCAAATGGATGTACTTTTACAGATATTTTTATGTTCTCTGTAATTGACAATATTTTAATTAAGACTGGAAAGCTATCATAGTCACAAGGCGACCAATAATTCCCCCCAAAAGTCTAAGTCGTTAGTTAGGCAGCATAATGAGAATTATCACACATTGGGGTTCATGTGCTCCTGACAATTATCCCTTTTCCGCCTTAAAGTCTTATTTGGATGGGGGAATTATCCAGAGAGGCAAGGGAGCCAAGTGGCGGGCACCACCTCACCACGCAATGTGCTTTTTGCCCAGAAAAAAAGCTGTGACCTTTTCTAAGCATCCACAAACACGAATTAAGAAACAAAGTTCTTGGCTGAGATCGATTGCCCCAGCATCCGATGGAGCCCAAGGAGCTGGTTACAAGGTCGAGCGATTACGACCTAAAGCCGAAATGACTCACATAATTGCAGAATCACTCATTCTAACAGCCTGATTGGAAATTGTCAACACTGTGTTTGGGACTAATGAAGCAAAGGAAATGGAAAAGGTGACATTTTCAAATAATATTATTAGTAAACGAATTGACAACATGTCAGATGACACACATGACACCAATCCAAAGTCTTATTAAGTCAAAAACAGTTTTCATTGCAGATTGATGAATCTATATATTAATACATTACTAATTGGGCTCAGTTAATAGCACTAATACGAATCCCAAAAGAAAAAGGCTGGGGAGGACACTGTTCTTCTGAGTAGTCCCAAAACAAATGACTGGGAATGAATCATTCAAACTGGACAATTAATACTTCGAGACACATAGCTGGTGGTGGAGGCCCTGCAGTGTTGCATACAGATGTGGCTGTAATGATGGGACGCATAACAGCTCTCCACCAA